TTCAGGTCCTATAATTGCTGTGGTCATCGCTGTCCTGCTGATCAGCTCTGTCGCAGGGGTTCTTTTCATCAAAAAATATGTCTGTGGAGGAAGGTTCGTGCATCATTTTTTATATAAATATATATAAATTTAACAAACATCCTGTTACTACGTGGGTTGTGTGTCCCTGCCCTCCTGTGTCCTTTTGTGTGTTTTTTTTTAACACAAATTTAACACATTTATACAAAAATAATAAGAAACCCCTGGCTTCATCAGGCTCTGATTGACTGGCTGATGTGCACAGCTCATGATGGCATGCCACAGAACCTGATTCCCCCAACAGAACCATAATATAAATCATAATGGCAATAATGTGAACAATTAATATGAGATGTGAATATAATATGTTAACATTAATATGAACAATAATGAAAATAAACAACACATAAACATTTTTTCACTCATCCACACATTAAATTGAATACTGTTCAAGTTATATATTTCATTTTAACAAACCCAGAAATGGTGCCATCAGTGCCATCTAGTGGTTAAAAGAAGGGTAAACCCTTTAAAGTACAAGACCCGTGACATGGCTTGTGTTTTTCAAAGTACTGGTATAAAAAAGCACTATGGATCTAAGTGTTGAGAGCAGTGTATAAAGCTTAGGAAATGTTTTCCTGTTTTAGGACAATGTTCAGACCTTGGGTTTGTCACTTTTGATTTTTGTTATAAAACATAAAAACTGTTCATTCTCTCTTTTTTTATTTTTGCATTTAAAAAATCACAATTTAATGCTATGTGGGATTATTGTGTAATGCAATGAAAATATTTGTAAAAAAAAAAAAAGAACCAGGGGTTTTACAAAAAAAATAATCAAGCATTGCCACACAAAAAAAACAGTTTTAAAGGTAATTTATTAAAGCAAATTGTAAAGTAGTAAAAAATGTTCAAAAAGACTCAGTTCTTCCAATGGTTAATACTGTTTTCTATGAAACAGTGCTTTGAGAATATTGTAAAGTCCCATTTTTTGAAGCAATCATTGACAATACATTTGAGCAATGTATTTTATTTTTATTTTTTATTTTAATTCTTAACACTATTGTCTTGTAGATTCCTGGTGCACAGATATTCAGTTTTACAGCAGCATGCTGAAGCAAATGGGATTGATGGTGTAGATGACCTGGAAACACTGGAGGCTGGCAAGACACACTACCATGATGACTCAGATGAGGTACATACTCCTTTTTTGTTTTCCATTATTTCATTATCTCTTTATCTGTTCGAGTGCATGTTCACAACAGCCTAGTGCTTAAGATTTCTAGGTTGAGGTCTCCTCACATTTGCCTGTAAGTCATGTATGAAATTTTGAGACTTGCTACAAAGCAAAGAGTGCCAACCATAACATTAATGCTTGGCCGAAAAGTGAAATGTCATATCAGCAGCACAGTGTGTGAATGTCACCCCATGCAGATGCAACCATTATGAGCCCACCCACTGGATAGCATAATTTAAATATTTTACTATGTAATTTGTCTAAAATACCACACTCTGCTTATACAATACTGGTGTCTTAAAAATTTACATTTGCTTTGTAATTTAAAAAAATATTTTGAATTCTATGATTGAACAGGAAGTTACATCTCAAAATGAAATTAAATAAGGCAGCACAGCAGAGGGTCTTCCCTTTTTTAGCTCTGGACCCTGAAAGAGACACACAGAAGCTCTCTCTGGGTCTTGCCCTCCCACCTTCTTTTGCAATGGCTTGACTTGCTGTAGCACACAGAGACAAAGAAGGTGTTATAACCATATCTGTCTATGGGACGACCCATGAAAGGAGGAGTAAGAACTTGATAGACATTGGAGATACAGCACAGCTATAAATCAAGAGATTACAGAAAGGTAACTACCGGCCATGACTCCTCTGAGTTTCAACTGCTGTCAGTTGACCATAAATGGTCTTGAGGTTACAAAAGTTTGCAAAATTTTCAACTGGAACTTTAGCTGGGGATTTCCAAGAACCTGCAAAAAGAATTACGTTAATCACCTCTGACCACAGAGTCTCCGCCAGAGGTGAGGGCCACTTGAAGCAACACTAAAAAGGTTGTCGGTTTTGAACGCAACTTAGAAAAGTTCATTTTAATCTTTATTGGGTGACTGCTGTTTTCTTTTTAAAATGTTATATATAATAACCTATTAAAATAAATGTAATTGATGATAAACATTTTCTACTAAATATTTGAATATAAGATTTTAAGACTTATCTTTACTTAACCTAATCCGAGAATAATAATTAATTCCTTTTGAGTTAAAAAGATACAAATAGAACTACCAATCATTGCAGGTTCCGCCACATAAAGGAGTTTTGTACGAACAAGTCATAAAACGATTCATTAATTCTACGTAATTTAAAGTAATAAAAGTATATTAAAAAATAATTAAATGTTTTTTTGTTTTTTTTTTACTTTGTGTTTAAACCTGTTGTCGAAGAATTAAAATTAACTTTTCAAAATGATGATATAGGCTCTTTAAGTAATTGCTTAGGGAAGATTTGACGTAACTTGAGAACAATAAATAATAAGGTTAAAGATGCTAGAGTTACAAAGGATGCACCATAAAACAATCTTAGCATATAAAACCAGATGGATGGTTTGCACTTAACTATTAAATAATTTTCAATACATTCTTACAGAACTGATTTACTTCATAAGGCTACAGTAGGTCATCAGGTATTTAAAAAAAACTAAAAACTGCTACATTATTGTTAAAATGTAAAATATAATGCATAGAAAACTAACTTTTGGATGTTGAATTTAATTACAGCATTAAATAGGAATCTGAAAAAATTTGTTTTCATCTGCAGGACCTTCTGGAGTGACAGGGACATGGGTCAGAAGAAGAAAGAAGCCATGGAGAGAAACCACAGACTGTATTCTGCCGTGTGACCCTTTTCAGGCTTGATGGGGATCATTTGTTCATCAACTCAAGCAAAGTTGAACCAAAAGAACAGGAATTGATGGAAACACATGAAGCGCATGAAAGCTACTGCTGAAGGATTTAAATTTTTCACAATTTTTCGTTTTCCTTCTAAATTTGGCTTCAGTTGGAAGTTGCTGTATTTGGAATGATTGTTTCATTGCTGATTTCGTGTATCAGGTTTTAAACTTCACCAAAGGATTCCCAGCTTCCCTTTCAACATTAGGAAACTCTGGGTTCAGTCTGCTTTTTGAAATCAAGTGAACATAGTTTGTTTAGAACTTATCTTTGAGAATTTGAAACTTACAAGAATGAGTCATTTGTAAGGATTCTCTTTTAAAATGTCTACAGACCAGAACTTTGATAGTAGTTACGGAGTCAATCAGTGCGGTTCTCTTGCTTGCACACAGTATTTCTCGAACCTGTCTTCCATTTCAGTATTAGCTATGCTGTTTTCTTTTTGGTACAGTGTCATTTGATGCAAGGACGATTTGAGAAAAGGCACATTGCGTGGTTTTCAATCAGCTTAAAAATATGCTGCATCTTATATAGGGAATAAATGGTTGAGCTAAACATAATAACAATGTGCTCAGTATTGACAACATGTTTAAAGCTAACTCTGGCATTAATCATGATTTTGTTTTCATACCATTCCTTTTTCTGGATGTTGACTATGTTACAAGCATCTAATGAACGGTTTTAAAACGTGTTGGAATCATATTGACTTGCGTTCATAAATAAGCTAATTTGTAGTCCATAAGCTGATTTGAGAGCTTTCTTTTTGCACAGATTCTTAATAGATACCTCAGGGTTTATAGATGACAACGGATCACACTTTCCATTGATGGTTTTGCATGTTGAAAGAGGGATCCTAAAACTTCAGATGTAAGACCAAGTTTAAAATGCTGTACCAGTAAATGTGACTGCCAAGAGTAATAATAAAACAAATCTTCTTGAGACTGGTTTCTCGCATTAATAATTTGAAACACCTGTTGTTTGTGTAACTGAAATCACATTTTTTTGATGTAAACTTTGAGAGAATCATTATATTAATATTTATGCTAAATAAATGTTAGCCTGTTTGGAAAAAACATTAATACCTAATACGTCACAGTGACTCATGTAATGATGTTTGATCTCTGTGGGGAAGTAGAAGATATGTGTGCCGACTGGTTGGCGCTCTCTTACTCTCCAGACATACATAGAGCAAAGCTGGAGCAGCACACACAAAGATTGGTAATTAATGCTATTTTTTATCTGTTTTGCAATAAAATAAATTGTCCATGTTACTGTGTTCATACTCCTTGCCACAAGAGTCATAGAAATATCAATGTCTTTTTCATATTAATAACACCAAAAAGAGTTTATATAGCTGCACACTCCCTTCGAAATTAATGAACATATCGAAAATAGTTGCAAATGTAACACTGAATGGGAGTTCTTTTTTTTCTGACTCTTTTGGGTAACTGGTGAACACCAACGAAAGATTGGTTGAAGATGAGAAATCAACCCAAAAAGGCTTAACTCCACAGTTTCTGATTATTAACATATCAAGAATCACAATTGTTAAAGGGGGATACTCTCAAAGGCATCCATCACTTTCTGGGCAAATTTTTCCATTGAACTAGGTAGATGTGAGTGAACACAGCACTAAGCAAACTGGTTCTTTAGAATGAACTAAATCCCATGGTGAAATTGTGATGTTCATGGAATGGAAATTTAATCTTGTGAAATCTAAGATGTAAGTACTATTAAATAAAAGAGTAATGTATACTAATTATATTTAGTCAGCTACGGAAATAGTCCTACTGCACCCTGTTCATATAATTCATATCTGTACATATTACCCCTAACCCATCTGTAAATATTATCAATAGTTTAACTACATTCATATATATATTTTAGTTTATAATACATACACACATTTGTGTATCCTGTGCTTTACTGCTATCGCGCTTCTGGTTAGACTCATTTACATTTACATTACATTTATGCATTTGGCAGACGCTTTTTTCCAAAGCGACTTACATTTGAATGAACATTTTTTTTCCTTTCCCTGGGATTTGAAACCACAATCTTTGTGTTGCTAGCGCAATGCTCTACCAACTGAGCCTCAGGAAAGCTCAAACAAAGTTAAATCGATTTTAAATTGTCTGTGGTGGAATACAACTTTATAAAAGAATGTGTGATTTTGACAATCACTAATGTAGTTTATACATTGGTCTTATTTATATTTCCTGGTTACATAATGCAGTGCCCCAATCCCACTGCTCAAGAAGCTGTAAAAATGGCAGAAGTAAGGATATTTGAGTACAAATCACACCCACACTAGGTAGTATGCGCTTCATTGCATGTCAGGAAGGATTTCCTTGATCATAAGAAGTTGCCTACTTCATCATTTCAAGTGCACAGAATGACACAAGTATTTGGTCAACCATTTTTAATAAACACATGAGGGATGATTACTTTATTGTAAACGTAAGCCACAGGAGTGTATGGAGTCTGCTGCATATTTGAATCAGTTTTACGAAGCAAAGTAAATAAATGTATAATGGAAATGTCTATGTTGTAGAAAGCTACTGTACCAGAAACAGATACTGCACCCTGGACAGGTCGCCAGTCCATCGCGGTGCAAGATTCCCTTACAAATTCATTCATAAGGGGAATTTAGATTATTAAATTAACCTAACTGCATGTTTTTGGGAGAAGCAAGCACGGGGAGAAAATGCAAGCTTCTAACTGGAAGGATGGTATGCTTAACTGCACTGCGCCATCGTGCTACTCACCATATATTATATTTAGTAATTTTTGCTGTAATCTATTCTTTATTGCAGTTAATTTTTATGTATATATTATTTTTGTTACATTTTTATGTATGCAATATAATATGCAATAATATGATATAATTATATGTAGCATAATATGCAAAAATAAGCAATTTCCCCACTGCGGGCTCTTTATTATTATTCATTTTTGCTTAGCCTAATCTATTGCTTATTGCAGTTAATTTTTTAATGTATGTATTATTTTTACTTTTTTATACATTTGCATTTATATATGCAATATAATATGCATTGATATTATATAATTATATGTAGTATAATATGCAACAATCTGCAATTTCCCCACTGTGGGACAAAAAGGGGTTCTTTATAATTATTGTTTGTTCTGTCTAATCTATTGTTTTTTGCAGTTAATTTTTTATGTATATGCAATTTCCCCACTGCGGGCCAAAAAAGGGTTCTTTGTTATTATTGTTTGCTCTGTCTTTCACAGCTCTGTCTGTCACAACTCCTCTGATCAGATCATCTTTAGGTCAGCAGGTCTGCTGTGGAGGGGGCGTGGTATGTGTCTCACGGGAGGGGCGTGTGAGCTCCTGTAATCTTGCTTTCTTTCGCCGTTCGCCATTTTGACTCCTAGTCGGGACGAGTCGTGTGATTGGGCTCTAGGCGCCGCTATCGGAGCCAATCAGCGGTGAATCGGGCGGCGGCGCAGTTGGTGAGTGAGCGCGGCGTCTGGGAGGGGATGGGACTCGGTCGGTGAGCTAGGGATTGGTGTGTGAGCGACCAACCAAATGACTAAATACATTATAAACAGGAATAGTACGGATTGTTTACGAATGTCCAACGTGTGGACAGTGAACCATGTGCGAGGCTCAATGTGTGGTTTCAGCGATAAACAATGAGCTTAGACGGTTTTATGAAGCAGAGCGTGTCGTTTGTTAGGCCTGCTTTAGCGCCTCTATTATATATCACTCTCCTGCTTTTTGCCGTGTTTAACTGCCCATATAACGGTATATACGTTTGTTTGGCGATCAGATTTTATGCTTAGTTTGTTGCCTGTATTTAAAGGATGTTTCTCTCCGAAACTTGGCTTTAACGCGTCCAGGTCGACGCGCTAATGTAACGTTAATGCCAGCAATGCTGGACAAAGAAAGCGCAAAAGAGCAACCATGTTTTTTCCCTTCAAATTTAGCTCAGTGAAACACGAGAACTACAATTTAATGCGGAAATGCTTAACTTGGAAACGGCGAGAAATGTAATAGCTACGAAAAAATGTACATTATGCTACCGTATTCATAGCGTTATTGATGTGTCCCGCGCCAAAAAAGTCTTTTCCCTACATTTTCTGTCAGGGAGAAAGTATTGTACAGTTAAAGCATGTTTTCTATGATAAATCCAACCACATTTTCAAAAAGCTTTGTCTGAATCAGGAATACATTAATTTGACAGAAAACATTACCCAACATCAAAATAAAGGTCCTTTCCAGCTCTATTCTTCTTTATGGAAATGTTATTTTCGTTGTTTTTTCCCCCTAAACAACAACAGTAAAAAAGTGACAACACCAATTTGATGATCATATTAGCCAAATTCCAGGTTTTCTCACCCAAAAAAGGCATTTTTATTTTTCCATAAAGAACCAAATTACCTTTGCTCTAAACATCCAAGGCAGTCATCACTGTCCAATTGTGGGACTTCTTTGGTATATCTCCTTAAAATGTAATCAATCAGCCTGCTGTCTCCTAACATGATTGTTGTAAGTTATATGTACTGGCTTCCCCACTTGCCCCTGCCTTCTTTATTTTATTTTTGTTTATATTATTTTTTTCATATCTCTACATTTGGTAAACTTGCTTCATTATTCTATTTGTATGGATCATGCAAATGCAATTCTATTTGTAACCTTGTTTGTGTTCTCGAGCAAAAAAAAAAATAATCCAACTAAATAAAAACAAAAAATGTTGAAACTTATATGATAAATATAACTAATAATTATTTATCATCTATTTAAACTTGTACATGTAAAAGGTTAATGAAGCATTTTGAATTCTGTTGTACTACAAGTCCTAAAATTAAAACATTCAGGTAATGTAACACTTGTATTTAAATTGTGCACACTTTCAAACCAGCTTCATACAATGAAATGTACACTTCAAATGTTTATCTACATTAAAAAAAGATTTGGGGGCAATAAAGATCACTAATAAAGCTGAAGGTTTAATAATTGCAGTTTAACAGTTCTTACTTGAACCTTGTTTAATTGGATACAAGCCTAAACATACATATTCACATTAGTGGTCTTGCTGCACCCAATTTAAAGCAAGAAAAGATATTTAAAAAATAAGGTAAGACCTTCAATAAGACCTTAAACAGCGCTTAAAAGTACATTTAGTTTTTCACCATTTCAGTTCATCATTACGTATTAAGCTTTGTCCATTGTATAACATGGTGTTTTGTTTTGCTGAGTGCAGGTTGTACAGATCTAATAAACCAGTGCAAACATGGAGCAGTACACAACCACCACGACAGCTACAGGGGAGCAGATAGTGGTGCAGGCCAGTGGCGGGCAGATCCAACAGCAGGTAAATGCTGACAAAAACACCTTGATGGGGTTTACAGCAGTAAAGATGTGTGAGGAGTTAAGATAGTATCTGCCATCACTGCTGGTTTACATTAGTGGTGAGTCACAATGTGACTGAGGTATTCAGGAGTATCCAATCCAAAAAATATGGCCATAGTGGCATGATCCAGTCTGCAATGCAAGTGCAATTTAGAGGCTATTGAGTGGAGAGCAAGCTTTGAATATACATTATTGTGGCCTAGTGGATAAGGTAATTGACTGGAGATCAAAAGGTCGCCGGTTTGATCCCTAGCCGAAGGTGGAATGAGTGTTGAAACTCCCTCCATCCAGTGACAACCATTACTGTGGGGGTCTTGAACAAGTCAGTAGTTCCCCACAGATCACCCGGTGTGTTTGTTCACTACTGTGTGTGTGCACTTGGATGGGTTAAATGCAGAGCACAAATTCCTTGTATGGGGCACTCCATACTTCGTCCTAATGTCACTTTCACTTCACTTTTAATATTGCCAATAACAAATGAAAATACGTGTTTATTTTATGCACTTTTGGTTTCTGGGTTTATGACCCATTTTATAAAGAATACAACATTTGTGTTCCCTTTTTCGTTTCCAAGCAACCATTTTCAAGACAAATGAGCTTCTATCATCTCAGAGAAACCATAATATTACGTTCTGTAGTAAATGCAGGTTTGTAATATGCTATGAACCACACTAATCAGAATATAGCATGTTAACGGTTCATTGTCTTTGGTTTAGGGCACAGTGACTGCAGTTCAATTGCAGACTGAGCCTCAGGTAGGCCAGACTGCAGCCCAGCAGGTTCTTCAGGTAGTGGTTGGCTCTCTGTGACCCTCCGCTGTCTCTTATTCTCAATGCTTGCATGGGTGTATTTTTGTCTGCCATTGCATTTGATCTTAGACCGCTTTATTTTGAAATGGGGTAAAGAGAACAATGCAATGACACATGCTCAAATTTGCTGCTTATGTACAACTGTCAATGTTGTGTGTAATGCAGCCATCAGCTTAAAGCTGCATGTTTTTGGAGATATTAATGTCTTTTTTTTCTCAATGTACAACATACAACAGTGGTGTCTTGCTTTTGCTGTGTTATTTAATTTGTGTTCGGGATTGACTCAAGCTCTCTGGCTGTTACAGTAGATTATAGTATATATATATATATATATATATATATATATATATATATATATATATCCTGACCAAATCATGTTCATTCAAAAGTTGAGTCTATAGTTGCTTTTAGGCACAAGAGTGAATTGAAATAAATAGATAATAGTTTAAATAGTAATTAAGATATAATTAATTTATATAATTTTTTTCCCCAGTTACAAGATGTTTTAAATTGTATTGATAGAGGGTAAAACATTTATAGAACTTTTGGTGGATGGATTTTCAGGCACAAAACTGGTAAATAGTCTCACAACATTCTGCTCACGATATGATACATACCTCTACGATATGATACGCATCACAACACTATTGTTAACCAACTATAACAAACAATCATTGGAAAAAGGGATCAAAAAAAAGTTTCAAAGCTAGGGCCTAGTTTGGTTTTGATACCATCCATCCACCAGGGGCCAGTGGTATCGTTTGCATTAATTCATATTTTTCTCTAAGTGATGGAGAGAGCTAATTGTTGAATTTTTCTCATTTAAAATGTGAGTAAAGGATAATTGTCTTCTAGTAAATATTAAATAAAACAAGAAGACACAGTAAAGAAGTTTCAGAAGTGACTAAAATCA